TATATATATATATATACCGCCTGAAGACCCAGCTGTCTGAGCCCCACTCTGCTCTGACTCACACATCTTTACATCAACAAGGTTTTTTTTCCACCAGCGTCTCGCCTGAACACAAACAGTATAAACGTCGTCTCATTTGTGTGGGGGAGCCTGCTGCTGACCATGCCAAAAATAAAAAAGAAACTTATGTAACTTCACCGCCAGGCTGAAAAAGGGCCCCACCTTTGCTTTCAGTAAGAGCTCTCTGGGTGGTTTTGGCACTGCCTCTCTGGGGTTAAACATCAATCTAATAATAATGAAGGTGGCTGTGGCCTAAACAAGCTCACAAACACTCAAAATTCCCCTGCTACTGCGGCCAAAACCCCACAGCAACGGGATCGGGCCCTGCTTTCAAAGACACTGGGATGTTTTCAACCCAAACAAACACAACCTGCTCCCCTAAAATATATAAAAAAGTGGTACGCTCCGACTGTGAGAACATCACGCAGTACCTCGTCATGTACCAGTACCGCTGTAACACGTGTCCTGGGGTGGTTCGCGAGAAAGGGGTTGAACCAGCACGCTCATTTGGCCTCATTTCACATGGTTAAATATAGAAAATAATTATAGTAATGACGATAATGAGGACCTGATGACTTTTACGAGCAGTTCCTCAGAGTGCGGCCTGCTGCGGGTGAGAGCCAGTTCAAATAAATGGGCCGTGTGAAGGGGTTCTGGGTAGGAAAGGGCTCATGGGAAGCGGTTCAGAGCTCAGGGTACATGGTAATTTCTTCATTTGGACAGTTTTCAGGAAGGCTGACCCTCTGATTACAGCCTCTCTACGAGCCAGTGGCCGTGTATTAACATAATTACACAGCAGGGTCGGTGAAACTTCCACCTCCTCGATTTCTATGGAGTCCCTGTCACGGCTTTCATTTTAAGACCATAAACACACGACAACACACGCACTGCTGCCACACAATGATTGATATCTTATGCAATTCGCTGTAAATCAATAGTTAGGGCACAGTGGCTTGAATGGAGTTGTAAGTTATAATCAATAGCTTATTCCAGCCATTGACTGGACATGAATCACAGCATTGGTTTGTCGATTTCTTTCTCATACATCCTGAATAGCATCATTTGTTTTTGTGACTGATTAGTTGTTTAGTTGCAGCTCTCTGATGGTTTTCACTGGACAACACGGTGCTCACCCCACAGAAAAAATAAGCTCTATTCATTCAACCTGCTGCTGTTGCATAAAAGACTATCGTATATCCCCACTGTAAATATGACACCTTCACCCAACTCTCTGCAGCGCTGTGAGGAAATCTCCACACACAGAAAACAACAACGGCAACTGTGGGGCAACTGTATCTCCGGCAGGATATGATGTGCCATGTGGCATCTAACCACAATGCACCGCTGACGCCCACATTATGTCAGTTTGAGAGCTCAGATATATTTGTTTAGTGGCATGACTAAAAGTGTGATTGTGTGTGATCATGATGTGTGTGATCATGATTGTGGAGTTTCCCTGGAAACAAGACAAAAATATAAGTATAGAAATACTTATTGTACAGTTCTTATATGGCTGCTGGTGTTAAGATTTAAAAATACATTTAAAGATATGATCAATATCTTTATATTAAAGGCGAGAACGAAAGCTTATGTTAAATATGTGACTAAAGAAGCTAACATGCTAGGCAGCCACTCTAGTGCTAAACAGCTCCAAATATTGGTATATTTTCTCAGTACTGTGCTCTATAGTCGTCTCTGGCCTTTTTGCTCTCAGGACTGTGCATAATTTCAATCAATAAAAGAGTTATTGACGAGTGGAAAAACAACAGTGTTATCAAGCTTGCTAAACTGACCTTTAGTAAGGGGACAATAAGTTTACACAGTATACAAAATATATGTCTCATTACTGGCAACTTATTTTTGTGGGGCACTTTATATTTTGACAGAGTTTGGTTAAATAAAATCTGTAATGCAACACAGCTAATACGCTATAGCTTCTTCCATTTTGGCTAGCACTGACAAGAGCTAACAACTAGCTGTGAACACAAAAACCTGATATTTCCTTGGTTGGTAGAGACCAAAAACAGAGCTAAAAGGCGAGTGAATAATGGACTTATATTTATCAGGTTGTCTGAATCATGACTCCAAATATATGATAATGTTGCTCTGGATGTGAAAATAAGCAACTGTTTGCTAATTAATTTATAATTCGTGTCAGTGTTGCGTTAGCTTGTTTCTGTTGCCAAATAAATCCTCAACGTAACGCAACAGAATACTATTTTGTTGTTATTGTACAGCTTCCAAAGCTACGTTTTCGTATTAGCATTAATATTGATAACCTAACCCAACAATATTTCTATACGAAGCTAAAGAAAATGTTTTGGGACTGTTATGGGGTTCATTTTTGCCAACTTTCTGGCATTTTATAGATGTAAAACACAATTTATAAAGAAAATAATCACCAGTTGCCTCTTTTCTACCAATATAATTGTGGTTTTTGGAGTAAAAATGCTAATGAAATACTGTCAGCTCTCTTTAGATTAAGTCACAGGAAGTGATTTGAGTAACTTTCCAGTTAAAATGACCTCCTCCTCCCTCACTCTGTCTTGTCATCAGTGGTTTTATTTTTTTTACTGTCACACAAACTACAAGGTAACTTTAACATGACGCCCTCCTCTGTTTTCCCCGTCCCCACTCCGTGGCCTGCAGCACTTCCTGCCTCCTGCCTGCAGAACCCAAAGAGATCCTGAACCAGTCGTATCGCTTCACATCTTCTCGGCCCGAACGCCAAGTACAACCCTATAATTAGAAGTGAAAAGCCACACTGGAGATATTCTCTCAAAAGTGTATCAAATTCTGTGAACTGCGAGGACTGCTGGGGGGAAACACATTGTGCAACGTCGCCTCTCATATTCTGCCAAGTAATTCCAGGACTGTGTGAATGGCGTGAAGAGAAACTGTCCTTCAGTTTTGCAGACCCATGCTGCTGAAGGGTCTTTGAGCAACTAGGGGCTTTGTTTTGGTTGTTGACACTGACCTCTGAGACAATTTACTGCACCTACAGGGGTCAAAAAAGTAGCAGCAATGCACAAAAAACAACAACAATGTGGTTGGTATTCAACGGGGCCCGCAGCCAAGAAAACGCTCAGTTTTGGCGGAGTGGAGAGGTGGATTATTTCCGAGCTTGGCACTGATGCCAAACGAGGGTACATGAGTGCATGGCGGTAACCCCCGGAGACGAGAGCTAATCCCTCCCGCAGGAGGGGAGCCGAGATGTTGAAATATGTCTCATGGTATCTCCGCGGGACCACATTGAATGGTTTTACATATAGCTACGGCCAATGAGATGTAGATTCACTCAAAGTGTCTCCCCGATTTCACGCCACGCAAGAAGATCTCGCAGACACAAAGGGCCGATCAATCCGAGGCCCCCATCTTCGTCCCCTTTGAAACATGAAGGGTATCGGAGATTTAAAAAAAAGGGGGAATATTTTGCTTTGTGCTCTTGAAAAACGTCGACTGACAGTGTGCTTTTTAGAGGTTGATTAACGCAACTCATTCTGTCAATAAAATGTCAGAAAATTGTGAAAAATGGCTTTTAAAAGGAACCCAAACAGTCTAAAAGTCAGAGATATTCAACTTACATTGATAAAAAAGTTAAAAAAACAACAACTAAATCGAACATTTGAGAGAACCAGAGAATATTTGGAATTATTCCTTTAAAAACTTAAATGATGACTCCATCATCAGTAAATTGAGTAGTTGTCTCAGCTCCGTATTTAACGTCATTTTGATGGATTTCCTGTTACAAAAGTGAGGTTTAATGGCAGATAAAGTCCCAAATGGTGAACAAATATTTTTGATTTAAGTGTCATTTTTTTAAACCAATTTTGCAGCAACAAATCACAGAGAAAAGGACCAGATTCCAGTTTCCCAACAGACGGAACCACAACAATGTTATCACGCCTAACACCTGCACAAATAAGCTACAGGTGAGTTGCAGCACCGGATCTCAGACAGCTGCTACACATAAAGGGTTCAGGAAAATGCTGCAAACAACAAACTGCAGCTCAGGTGACAAACTAACTATTATTTATCATCTCTTTCATAAAATAACGGAAGAAAATGGATAAATATGAAGTTACAAGCAGGTGAGGGAGGATTAGAAATAACTTTTTATCAATTAATCTGCAGTTTTATTCTGGATTAATCGTTCTAGAATTGATCATTTGGTTAGAAATCCCCAAATCCCCATTTTTTACTAACTGTAATCTAATTATGTGTTTTACCTCTTTTTGTATTACATAACTCACTTACATGTAATCTGTTACTCCCCCGAGCCTGATTATACAAAATATGTCAACTTTTTTTTGCAATTGTTCCCTTTTTCCACAAATTCTTTGGAGAAAAAAGCCTAAAAATATCAACAACAGCAACAGGCATCTAAGTTTTTAGACATTTTAGGCCGCAACACAGCCTGTGAGATCCTGCAGGGAAGAAAAACAGCCAATTGTCACATCTGAGAAGCTCAAACCAGACACATTTCTGGCATGTCTCCCTGACAAACGAAGAC